ACATATTTGTAAAAAAAACGGAAGTTTAGGTTCTACATACCATGCAAAGCTAAGGTGACATATTTGTAAAAAAACTGAAGTTTAGGTTCTACATAAGTAAATACATAGGAATTGAGTGGTATTTATGTAGATCTACCGCAAGAAAAATAAAGCAGAAAAAGTAAATTAAAATGGTAATCACCAAAAACATACACTAAAAAAAGGGCATTTACATACATACCCCCCTAATTATTTTGTATTTACAAGTAAAATAGATACAAAAGAGGCCCCTTCCGGAAACCTCAAACCTGAATTTTCAAAACAAACATTAGGGCCCCCATAGCAACCTTGCAAGATTTCTGCAACACTGTTTTGTTCTTTTTCAGTGACATTATCAGTTCCCACACATATTTTTCTATCTTTCAGTGGTTCTCCACAGACCTCTTGTCCATGGGCAGGAACAAACTCAACATGGCCATGGTATTTATGCAACTTTATGATTCTCAGAAGATAATCGACAGAAGAAATATTAACATAACACCAGACCATTAACACTTTATAGATGAGTAAGGGAAAAAAAAAGACTTTCACACGAAGGAATCAGTAACACACTTTCATGGAATGTGGTGAGGCTCATGCGCACAGACTTGCCTCTGATTTTTAGACATATACTTTCTATGATTAGTGTAGAATTATGAGATTAGAATGCTAGTAAATGCAAGCCACAAAAAAAAAAAAACCAAGAACAGTAAGGAGAGGAACCACTCTACAGTATTCAATCCATAAGGATAACTGAGAAACCACATATAAAGAATTAAAACACTAGGCTACAACATGAAGATGGCTAACAAATGGATAGTTCTAAGTAGCAATTATAGAACAACGAATGTAATGCACTACAAAAGTGATTGCATCTGCGAAATTGTGCGGCATGAAGGCATTTTCCAGCTGCTTATTATCTGCGAGCATATCAACAATGGGGTTGGTTATCAATTAGAATTTGTGACCAACAATTATGATCGAGGCCTTTACATGCGTACCCGCCCAATTATTATGTATTTACATATCTAACACTTAAACTTTCATTGTTTACATTTATATTACCCAAATATGTCATATAACGTAAAAGATACTACTATTTTAACTTTTAAAAGATGAAATACACTTTTTCATGCATGGATAAGGTTTTGAAAAATCATTTTGCATAATTGAATTGGCTCGAACACAAATATTCTATAACCAAAGTCCATATAATTTACCCATTGGTTTTGATTAGGACTCATCATGAAGTGATACACATGTATCAAGAGATCACCTGGACCGAGGTTTCCTGTTCTTTTGAAATCCGCTACATAAATTGTATTCACAAATGTCAACGAAACAAAGTTCGACACAACAAATTTAAGACATTTACATACATGACACACAATTCTTATGCTCAACATAGCTGGGAAAAGGCCAGAACCTATTAAGAACCAAAGAAAGATAAAGATGACATAAAGAAGCTAAAAATAGCTCAACTCCATAACTTAGGCTTCACTCTGAAAATGTCCCTCAATAAGTTAATTGCTCTATCATTATTAGATGAATTATCTACTAATATAGTAAATACCTTATTCTCTACTCTCCAATCAATGAGAGATTTATAAAATGGTTCAACTATTTCAGATGTCAACCGTGGAGGTGGCAAATGTAGAAAATGGAGAGCGCACTTTTGTAACCTCATATTTGAATCAACATAATGTGCAGTGATAACCATATATGATATTCTTTGGCTTTTGGATTTTCCCAAATCCGTTGTGAACTTAAACTATTGATATTTTAAACTTATTCTTCAGCCTCTTCTTCTCCTTCTCGTACACCAACATCACATCATCGCGATCAGTTGCCCTTGAATATTTTTTGAAATACAACTACATTGACTTCAAAACCAAATTAAAACTAAATTCTTCAATAATCGAGAAAGGCTTCTCATTTATCAATATATAATACACAATCATTTATCAAAATAGCAATGCTTGCATTTCCCCTTTCTAATAGTGTCCTAATAATTATTTCTTTAAACTTGTACCACACCTTTGATGTTCTCTTCCTTTTTTTTTCCTCTCAAGCCCACTTCTAATCTCATCACCCACCTCAACCTCATCATCATTCTCTCATTTACCATCATCACCATCTTTGTGTTCTTCAGTAATACTCTCATCTTCAATTCCAATACTAATAATTTGCTCCCCATCTACCGAGGTTGAGTTGATTCATCTAAAATTTCATCCTCCATATTTATTGTCTCACCACTGTAATAAACAATGCAAACAAGGTAATTTAACAAGATCATTAAAGCTAGATAATTGCACAATTAATCATATATTAACATGCCATGTATTGAAAAAAAATAAAGACATACTATATGTATCAACTAACTTGACAAAAATGTGCATCATAACCAAATTATAAATGTAGACATATAAGGAAAGAAGCTCCCACAACAAAAATATTGAAGTTTGGGTGCATGATATGTAAATTGAATGACATGTATGTAAATCTTCCAAATGAAAAAAACTAAAAACAAAAACTAGAAAGAACAAAACATAATATGAACCCATACATGATCTCAGTTGAATCCAAACTTGCATCTACATTAAAACATAGTTATGATACTAAATCCATAAATGAACAAAAGTTTGAAATGAGTCTAAAATTGATGTGTAAAATCATATTAGAGCGTGAGCTTTTGAGACGACGTAAATCATATCTTGAAGCTGAACTTAAAACTAGAATTAAGCAATAATGATAATCCCTTAAACAAATACATGGGCCTTTACATAAATCCCCCAAAATTTTATGTGTAGCTTCAACTTACAAAAATCTGTCAAAATCATTGAATCATTATATCTTAAGAGCAATAAAGTGACATTTTTAAAAGAACCCCCCAAAATTGTTACATTAAAAAATTATACTATCCCACCTAATTGCTAAAATTAAAAGTGGAAGCCCATAGCTTATAGAATCTACAAGCACATGGCTTGAAGGCAGCCAGGAATTCAAACCTGTACTCTTTCTTCCCTACTATTTCTCGCTGCGTCGATCGTTCAATGGTGCAAATGTTCAGGCTTTCGTTTCGTGAACTCGAAGGTCTATTTGAAGAAGAATAGATTAGAAGCAGCACTTTTATTCGTTCAGAACAAATTAACGATTAGTTTTTCTTCTCTACAAAGATTGGATTGATTTTAATTTTTTTTTTTAAAATAATACATTATAAAATTTGTTATGTGGTAATATAAATATACATAATATGACATTTTGTCATTTGCAAATCACCTGAAAAGCTTTTTCTGACGAGAGGAGATACATACAACAACAAACAACTCCTCGCCACATATCGTTGATTCAAATCTGTTGAAGAATTATATAGATCAAGCAAATAAATGTCATAACACGAAAGTAAGATATATTTTTTCATGCATACATTCATAACACGAAAATGTCATAGGTGTAAATATGAAATTTTTGGTGTTAGATACATAAATGCATAAGATTTGTGTGGCACACGTCATAACGCATAAATGCATTTATGGTGCAAGTTTAGAAACACAAATTTTTGGTGTTAGACGACCAACCACCAGCGCCACACAACCACCCACCAAATCTTGTTTATGTATACAACACATAAATGCATAAGATTTGTCGGGCGCACGTTTAGACGACCACCCACCATCATCATACAAGTTAGCGGCGCACAATGTGACCGCTGGTGGTTGGCCATCTGAGCGTGCGGACGAAATTTTTTTCGAGGGAATGAGGAGTGGAGAGAAAAGCCAAGGATCGATCACTCGAAGTATGAGATGAGCGGTGGGGCGAACAGTGTAGTGGCGCCTAGAAATAAATTGACTCGGAAAGTATATTTAGGGCTTCAACCCTCAAAGGAATGAGCGGGCCAACATCCAAATTATGACTTATTCTATTTAAGTGGCTCGTCGAGTTCACAAGTCGAGTCAGGCGAGGCACGAGCTTGAGCTCGTATATTATACGAGCTCGATTGTAAGCTCGAGCTCCAAATCGAAGCCACAAGCTTGACTCGCGAGCTCTTTAACGAGTCGAGTTCGAACTGACTTGCAAGCCGACTTGACTCATTCACACCTCTAATTGGATGTGGCGTTCTTAAGTCCGGAGGCTAAAACTTCATTTGGAAGATGGGGTCACTCGAAAACATCATTATTTATAAATTTAGCACCCGCTTTCATCTATTTTTTTAAAACTCATCATAAAACTCTAACTCATACATTTCATTTTTATCAAATTTAATCACAACATACATAAATACATCAATTGAGCATTGTTCAAAAGTATAACCTCATTGCTGAATTTTGTAAATAGGAATGCTTCCCCTATGTATGTAATTATCCCAAATATTTTTATCCCACGAAAATTTGTCGTGTTATATCGGTATTATATTTACATTATATCCTTGTAATAAGCTACATGTAAGCTAGATATTCGAGGTTACAAGTATGGCTAGCAAAATGGCTCGTTGTTCGCGAACAACTCGTGTTGGAGTCGTTAAGAAGCTCGTGTTCGGCTCGTTAATTTCGTTGGATAAGTTAAAGAGCCGAACACGAACAAAGATGTGTTCATTCATGTTCGGCTCGTTTTGGCTCGAAATAATACTCATCAAGTTTA